TAACAGTGGACCCTAAGACGTTGGTAACAGTGGACTCTAAGACGTTGGTAACAGTGGACCCTAAGACGTTGGTAACAGTGGACCCTAAGCTGTTGGTAACAGTGGACCCTAAGTTGTTTGTAACAGTGGACCCTCAGTTGTTTGTAACAGTGGACCCTAAGCCGTTGGTAACAGTGAACCCTAAGTAGTTGGTAACAGTTGACCCTAAGCCCTTGGTAACAGTGGACCCTAAGCCATTGGTAACAGTGGACCCTAAGACGTTGGTAACAGTGGACTCTAAGACGTTGGTAACAGTGGACCCTAAGCTGTTGGTAACAGTGGACCCTAAGCCATTGGTAACAGTGGACCCTAAGTAGTTGGTAACAGTTGACCCTAAGACCTTGGTAAGAGTGGACCCTAAGCCATTGGTAACAGTGGACCCTAAGACGTTGGTAACAGTGGACCCTAAGCCGTTGGTAACAGTGGACCCTAAGACGTGTGTAACAGTGGACCCTAGCCATTGGTAACAGTGGACCCTAAACCGTGGTAACAGTGGACCCTAAGACGTGTGTAACAGTGGACCCTAAGCCGTTGGTAACATTGGACCCTAAGTAGTTGGTAACAGTGGACCCTAAGCCTTTGGTAAGAGTGGACCCTAAGCCGTTGGTAAAAGTGGACCCTAAGTAGTTGGTAACAGTGGACCCTAAACCTTTGGTAAGAGTGGACCCTAAGCCGTTGGTAACATTGGACCCTAAGTAGTTGGTAACAGTGGACCCTAAACCTTTGGTAAGAGTGGACCCTAAGACGTGTGTAACAGTGGACCCTAAGCCATTGGTAACAGTGGACCCTAAGCCATTGGTAACAGTGGACCCTAAGCCGTTGGTAACAGTGGACCCTAAGACGTGTGTAACAGTGGACCCTAGCCATTGGTAACAGTGGACCCTAAACCGTGGTAACAGTGGACCCTAAGACGTGTGTAACAGTGGACCCTAAGCCGTTGGTAACATTGGACCCTAAGTAGTTGGTAACAGTGGACCCTAAGCCTTTGGTAAGAGTGGACCCTAAGCCGTTGGTAAAAGTGGACCCTAAGACGTTGGTAACAGTGGACCCTAAACCTTTGGTAAGAGTGGACCCTAAGACGTGTGTAACAGTGGACCCTAAGCCATTGGTAACAGTGGACCCTAAACCTTTGGTAAGAGTGGACCCTAAGACGTGTGTAACAGTGGACCCTAAGCCGTTGGTAACAGTGGACCCTAAGACGTTGGTAACAGTGGACCCTAAACCTTTGGTAAGAGTGGACCCTAAGACGTGTGTAACAGTGGACCCTAAGCCATTGGTAACAGTGGACCCTAAGCCGTGGTAACAGTGGACCCTAAGACGTGTGTAACAGTGGACCCTAAGCCGTGGTAACAGTGGACCCTAAGACGTGTGTAACAGTGGACCCTAAGCCATTGGTAACAGTGGACCCTAAGACGTGTGTAACAGTGGACCCTAAGCTGTTGGTAACATTGGACCCTAAGTAGTTGGTAACAGTGGACCCTAAGCCTTTGGTAAGAGTGGACCCTAAGCCGTTGGTAAAAGTGGACCCTAAGACGTTGGTAACAGTGGACCCTAAACCTTTGGTAAGAGTGGACCCTAAGACGTGTGTAACAGTGGACCCTAAGCCATTGGTAACAGTGGACCCTAAGCCATTGGTAACAGTGGACCCTAAGCCGTTGGTAACAGTGGACCCTAAGACGTGTGTAACAGTGGACCCTAGCCATTGGTAACAGTGGACCCTAAACCTTTGGTAAGAGTGGACCCTAAGACGTGTGTAACAGTGGACCCTAAGCCGTTGGTAACAGTGGACCCTAAGACGTTGGTAACAGTGGACCCTAAACCTTTGGTAAGAGTGGACCCTAAGACGTGTGTAACAGTGGACCCTAAGCCATTGGTAACAGTGGACCCTAAGCCGTGGTAACAGTGGACCCTAAGACGTGTGTAACAGTGGACCCTAAGCCGTGGTAACAGTGGACCCTAAGACGTGTGTAACAGTGGACCCTAAGCCATTGGTAACAGTGGACCCTAAGACGTGTGTAACAGTGGACCCTAAGCTGTTGGTAACATTGGACCCTAAGTAGTTGGTAACAGTGGACCCTAAGCCTTTGGTAAGAGTGGACCCTAAGCCGTTGGTAAAAGTGGACCCTAAGACGTTGGTAACAGTGGACCCTAAACCTTTGGTAAGAGTGGACCCTAAGACGTGTGTAACAGTGGACCCTAAGCCATTGGTAACAGTGGACCCTAAGCCATTGGTAACAGTGGACCCTAAGCCGTTGGTAACAGTGGACCCTAAGACGTGTGTAACAGTGGACCCTAAACGGTGGTAACAGTGGACCCTAAGACGTGTGTAACAGTGGACCCTAAGCCGTTGGTAACATTGGACCCTAAGTAGTTGGTAACAGTGGACCCTAAGCCTTTGGTAAGAGTGGACTCTAAGCCGTTGGTAAAAGTGGACCCTAAGACGTTGGTAACAGTGGACCCTAAACCTTTGGTAAGAGTGGACCCTAAGACGTGTGTAACAGTGGACCCTAAGCCATTGGTAACAGTGGACCCTAAGCCATTGGTAACAATGGACCCTAAGCCGTTGGTAACAGTGGACCCTAAGACGTGTGTAACACTGGACCCTAGCCATTGGTAACAGTGGACCCTAAACCGTGGTAACAGTGGACCCTAAGACGTGTGTAACAGCGGACCCTAAGCCGTTGGTAACATTGGACCCTAAGTAGTTGGTAACAGTGGACCCTAAGCCTTTGGTAAGAGTGGACCCTAAGCCTTTGGTAAAAGTGGACCCTAAGACGTTGGTAACAGTGGACCCTAAACCTTTGGTAAGAGTGGACCCTAAGACGTGTGTAACAGTGGACCCTAAGCCGTTGGTAACAGTGGACCCTAAGACGTGTGTAACAGTGGACCCTAAGCCATTGGTAACAGTGGACCCTAAGACGTGTGTAACAGTGGACCCTAAGCCGTGGTAACAGTGGACCCTAAGACGTGTGTAACAGTGGACCCTAAGCCATTGGTAACAGTGGACCCTAAGACGTGTGTAACAGTGGACCCTAAGACGTGTGTAACAGGGGACCCTAAGCCGTTGGTAACAGTGGACCCTAAGCCTTTGGTAAGAGTTGACCCTAAGCCGTGGTAACAGTGGACCCTAAGACGTGTGTAATAGTGGACCCTAAGCCGTTGGTAACAGTGGACCCTAAGTCGTTGGTAACAGTGGACCCTAAGTCATTGGTAACCTTAGTGCTCACACACGAGGACATGCCATGTTTAATCCAGTCCGTATTTTTGCACCAGCCCACGTATACACTGTGTTGACAGCAGCTGCAGCAAATTTAAAAAAAAAAAGACTGGGATTTCTGAGCAATTATTACGATTTATGCTTTTCTTATCTGGACCAAGACAATTAACTTTTTAAATGAATGAAGATTTTAAGCTATCTAATACTTGAGTAAATATGAATAAAATATACAACAGCTATCTTGAATTATCAATGTGGAAACCAAGTGTAGGATCACACCAGACTGACATTAAATGCTTTGTTTTCTCTACATCTAGTGCTTTTTCTAGTGAGCTTTACTCCTGGTTTGGTCTAATTTAGCCACTTGATTTAGTCCCAGTTTTAGTCCATGTTTTGCTCACAAGTTAATTATTGTTCAGTTTAGTTGAATAATCTACCATTGGAATTTAGGACTTATTAAACCAGCAGAAATATCAAAATTCTTAAAATGTATGCCTCACAAACTGATAGTTTCACAAAAAAGAAAAAAAAAAAAGTATATTTTATTTTTCAGTCACCTAAGAAAAGACGAACAATATAAGACAGAGAGAGGATGTGCAGAATAATAGTTATTCAGGATTCATAGAGGGAGAACCACAGGGATGTTCTCATTTTATTAGTACTTATCTTATTTATCCTTATTTTGATCAACTGAATATGTTTAAAAACGTAATTTCTAAAATGAAACACCCAGAGAAGAGCTGTCTCCTGTCATGGTGAGTTTTTATACAATCTACCAGGGCTGAAACAATTCATTAGATTAATGATGATTATTCAATTATTGAAATAATCCTCAACTAATTTAGTAATTGATTAATCATTAACTGGAATATAGAGACTCTAAAACATGTCTTTAGCTGACAGAGTGACCGACTTCAAGCAGGAATTATACTAAAATTGCAAAACAAATAATATGAAAATATTTTACATTTGAAATAAAAAATATTTTTTGGCTGTTAATCTGCTCTCTCCAGTTGCATTTATTGTGCTATAAAAATTCAGCATTTTGCCTCTTAGTTTCAGTGAAATCCTCTGAAAATCTTCCACCTATAGCAGCCGGTGTTCTCATAGCCGTTCTATCGAACCCTGACAGGGTTTCCTGTCTGAACTATTTGAAAATCTCGCTCCAAGGTTTGATGAAAGGTTGGCAGCCCTGCATTTAGCTGTTGGTTCCAGTGGGCCCTTAGCCGTCAGTAATAGCTGGGCACTAGACCTTGGCTGTTGGTTATAGTAGCAATTAATGACATGAAAGTTGGATGTTAGATAAATGATATGTTGACCATTCAGACTGCATACATGATGATTGGATATCTAGAGGATTTAGTACCACATATCTGTTTCACAGATTTGTTTTTGTTTTAAGGTGAAAAGTTTGGAGTATTGAGACGACTGTTAAGAGTTAGATATAGGTGGCATAAAAATATTGCATTTGATTTGCATTTGAATAGGAAGTGATTCTGATCACATGGATGTAGAATGAAAGGAGACAAAATAAAACAAAGGGAACAAAGAAAAAGCTGAACTGAAATACAAAAGAATCAAGGAAAAAAGGAATAATCACAGTTATGTCCGAAAACAGTGGACATAAAAAAGATGAATAAAATAACAGGAGGCTGTGAAAAACAGAGTAATTTCTCTTTTGAGGTAAAGGACTCATAAACCATGATGCTTCCTGCATTTTGCTGATGTTTTTCTTCATTTGCAGGTAAAGCTGTGACGATGATGGCTGTGTTGATGCAGAACCACTTGGTTGTCCTTTTAGCAGTGACCTACTGGTCTTTGCCCAGTTCCTCTCTGAACCCAGATGATCCAAACGTCTGCAGCCACTGGGAGAGGTAAGTCACCTCTATGTGTCTGGAACAGCTGCTTGGTGGACTTTATAAAGAACCAGATCACTCTGATATAAATTCTTGCTTTGCATATTAAGGCTGTGTTAAATTGATCAGATGTCTACTTCAGTGTTTCGGGAAAAGCAGTTTATTTACAAAAAAATGGATAAATAACTAAACTATTAGGAGAAAAGAGAAGATATAGGCCAAACTATTCAGAGTATAAATCTACAGCAGTTAACTGGAAGGAGTGATTGAATAATAACCATAGCAAAGAGGGTGGCTGTGTGGTTTTTCATGAGGCAGTCATGAGGGAGTCTTTCTTTCTTGCCCTGCAACCAGATTATTTTGGACACACTTATTTATGTCTCACAGACTTTGCTCAATACTTGATAAAATAGCTAGAAAGGAGAACAAATAGAAATTGAGCACAGAGCATCTTCAGTTTTCTTTCTGGTTTGATGTTTGTCCTTCTGTCCTGTTCTGCTTCCAGCTACTCGCTGACGGTGCAGGAGTCCTATGCGCATCCATTTCATCAGATTTATTACACCAACTGTCCAGACATCCTGAAGTGGTTCAAGTGCACCAACCACAGGTGAGGAACATCTCCAAGAATACAGTCTGAAACATTACCGCTCTCAATCGCAACTACCTCTCTATATAAGCCTGATGTGGTTGGCATTGTGCCTGTGTTCATTTGAAGATCCATTTAGTTTGGTTAGTTTTTGTGTCTTTTATTGTTTCCCTGTTTGTTTCTGTAGTCTAATGCCCCCATGGCATCTTTAAACTGCTCGCTGCTCCTTGAAGGACGGTTAATTGTCATGTAACGTACATTTGCAGTGACTAAAAGTTCATTATCCATTCTTCAGTGCTTCTAAGGAAAACAGTCGTGACACTAATAAAACATCCTTGTGATGCGATTCAACAGCTGCTATATCCAGCATGTTGACAAGGAAACAGACCCACGTTGTGATTTGGCTTGTGATACCAGCTGCCACGGAGCAGTTTACAATCTGACAAACATTGATCATGTTAAACCCTTCGGTTGTTACTGGCATTCACTCAACACTTCTGAAATGAACTTTCTAAGACTGAACTGTAACTGAGTTGTTCCACAAGTTCTTCATGTAGCCTTTAAACGCAAGAATTATACTTAGACTCAACTTTATTAAACCCGTGGGATTACTCCTTCAGGGAATTTCTGCTTCCAGTAGCTTATATAGAAAACAAAGAGTTAAAGCAAGATGCCATTAAAGCGGAGGTCTTCAACAGGGGGTCTGTGACCCCTAGGGGGTCCACAGAGGTACTGCATGGGGGTCACGAAAGTTTTGCTTGATTAGACTTTTTTTAATATTCCTCTCGCAATTTTTCCCTCTAATTGAAATGTCTTTAAATCCACATGAACATGAATCCAACAGACTGTAGCAAACAGATAAATGGAGGCAGAAGATGTCTTTCAGTCATCAATGCTCACATTCAGAGACACACAAGAGCTCTTTCAAGCTGGACACCGTTTCATTCACAACACCTGTCCCATCAACCAGGAAGCAGAAATACTTTAATAATCCCAGGGAGGGATTACTTTAGTTACATTACTCCATCTGTAATAGAGTGACTATAGAACCAGTTTGATAGAACACTATTTCATAGAATACATCGCTACCGTTCAAAAGTTTGGGGTCACCCAAACAATTTTGTGTTTTCCTGAAAAGTCACACTTATTCACCCCCATAAGTTGTGAAATGAATAGAAAGAGTCGTGACATTGACTATATTCCTCTAGGAACCTTCTTTGAAGAGCTTTTTTTCTCACTGAATTGTTAAACCTGTAGTGTGACTGTCTCACTTTTTTTTTTTTTTTAAGATTTCCACTTTTTGTACGAGAGTGCAATGAATCAGATTGGAGCCGCATGTAGTGTAAACACTTTTTCACCGAGTTGTAAATAAGTGACCTGTCCGTGTGTGTGTTCTTGTATAGGGAGCTTTATCGGACAGCTTATCGCACAGGAGAGAAAATCATGTACAGGAGGAAGTCCCAGTGTTGCCCAGGCTTCTTCGCAGATGGAGAGACGTGCGCCCGTGAGTCTTCCAAACCTTTCCCATCACCTGGATACTGGGTTTTAGCCAGTTAACACATTTTCAATGAGTCTGAGTTTTCAATGGTTTACTGGGGGAGAGACCAGGGACAGTAGCAGTGATGGTTGTTGGGACATGGATGCAGCATAAGCAGCTGAATATGCAGTTGGGTAAAATTCACACCAATCTAAAATACAGCAGCGTAGGAATTATGAAACAAACCTAGACAATTAAGTTATATTTTCTGTTCAGTTCCTGCATTTACTTCACAAAACGTACCTTTGAGAAACTTGACCTCCATTCTGAAAAAAAAATCAGACATCCATCCGACCGCCGGCGCTCCACTTGTATATTTACATCAAACAGCAGTATGCTTGAAAATAACACCAGTTAAAGTCTAATCAATATAAACATGTTAATCATCCTTAGAAAGCTCAGTTTTTCCACAATCCAACCACTAAGTCCACTTCTTTTCTTTGGAGGTTTTTGCAGCACTCCTGGCTCGTTTTTTGTAGGCGGACAGGAATCAGGGAGAGAGACTCGTAGCAAAGGACCACAGGTCGAATTCAATCCCACGTCGGTCACGGCGAGGACTAAGGCCGTCGAACCCGGGCCATGCACCCTAACCACTGTGCCACTGATGTGCGCCCCGCCAAGTTCATTTGATGGAAATAATGAGCAGCAAAGCACAATGAATAAAGATAGAGCAGCATGCTAAATCAGAATATTTTAAAAGCTTTGACCTCCTACCTTTGAAGTGATCCTGAGGCTGGATTATAAATCCAATCTTAGACTGTTTATATATAAATATCTATCCTTCTTCTTCTTCTTTTTAAGTTTTATGGCAGTTGGTAAACAACTTTTGGTGTATTGCTGCCACCAACTGAAAAGCAGTGTGGATCTGGATAATGCAATAGCCTACTACGAAAAAATTAAAAAATAAATAAATCCTTTGTATTAAATCAGTCGTCTTGAGGTTCCTCAACAACAGAGAACATTCCTCTGACCCTTCTGATCCCATGGCTAAAAGGTCTTTTTTGTGTATTTGTAATTTATTGGCTTGTAATATATGTATCTGCTAATTTATCTGACTGACATATTTAGTGCAAAATAATATAACGTGTTCCACTGTCTCTTCTGGAAAATAAAAATCACACTTCCCTGAAACCAAGGGTGTAACTTTGTAATGAAAGTTGGTGGGGAAACTGACCACCATCAGTAGACAATGCAGGTGAAGTGCCTTGCCCAAGGACACAACGACCCTGAAAGTCGGAGTCGGGACTTGAACCGTCAATCCTTTGATTTCAGGGCAAACTCCTACATCCAACGCCAGTGTCTCCCTACTGTTACCCTGAAATCCCATATCCTCTGCCCCGCAGCGCTGCAGACCTGCTCAAAGCAAAGCCTAGAGCCTCCGCTGTTCCTCCCGTATCGCTGCGCTCCGACTGATCCTCGGAGCTCGAGGAGAGCATGCGCGATATTTTCATTAAATTAATAGGAGCAAAACATGCAGAAATTAAAGCTTAATTTAATATGACATATAAAAAAGTCCCCATCAGCATCCAGCAGCTGTGCGGTTTCTGTTGGAGATGGGAAATCTGCTTCCTCGTCTGTTGAAGAACCAATAGTTTGCATCTAATCTTTTAAATAAACAGTGTTAGTTTTTTGAAATATAAAAGAATTATGCTCTAATATGTAGTTAATGATCTGTTGTTACTTTATTTTAATTTGACTAAACCGGATCTTCTCGCCGTTCTTTCTCCCGTTTGGTGTGATTGCAAAAATGTTTTGCTTTTTTTAAACTAGCAAAGAACAAACTATTTAAACAGCTGCTTTAGTCAAACTTATTGCTTTACAATTATAATTTTCAAGGCTTTTTACACACCGTTGCTTTTTTTTGTTGAAAAAGCTCCGTATGTTTGTTGACTTTTTCGGTGGCATCTTTTTTTTTTTTTTTTTTTTTTTAAACAATACTTTATTGTCTTTTAGAAACAAGACAAACAACAACAATTCAGCACAGCAAAGTCTAATACAAAATATGAAATGTCCAGCAAAATGTCCGGTATATGAATTTCAAATACACATCAGGGTCAAAACCTATATTCCATATGATAAATCAAGGAAAAAAAAAAAAAAGATAAACAAAAACAATCAAACATAATGTTTAAAGACAAACTGTGATCCCCCTTTGTGTAATAGCTCGGCAAGCTCACTAGGCAGATGATCAAGCAGAGGCTGCCATACTCCATAGAAATCATTACAATTACCCTTTATAATGGCACTGAGGCGCTCCAGCGGAAACACCTTGAACGTTTCTCTGTACCACTGGGTTACAGAAGGGGGCTGTCCCAGAATCCACAGAAACAGAACACATCGTCTGTCCAAATGTAAAAGTTTACGGAGTAAAGTCATTTGTGTTGAAGATAGAGAAAGCCCTTCTACAGAAAGACCAAGAATAAACAGCACAGGGTTCAGTGGGACTGTCTGGTGAAATATTGAGCGAAGCTCTATAGAAACGTTATTCCAGAATCTAGCAATTATAGGGCATTTCCATATACAGTGATAGTAAGTCCCCACATCTGTATTGCACTTTACGCACAGAGGGGAAATTTGAGGGTCAATTTTATGTAAAAACTCTGGGGTACGCTGCATTCTATGTAGAATTCTGTAATGGCTTTCCCGAAGTCTGTTACAAGTAAACATTTTCTTAGCAAACCTAAAAGCTTTTGACCACGCTTCTGAGCTAAGCTCAACTTCCAAGTCTGTTTCCCACCGAACCCTGGCCTTATCAGTTGTAACAAAATTCAAAGACAGTAATTTCCCATAGCACAGAGAAATAAATTTCTTTTTAGTGAGTACATCTTCATTAAATTTAAGAAGAAAACTTTCGATAGGGTTCAAAACAGGTTGGTTGACTGGGAATTTAAGAGAATTTACAAAGTGTCTCACTTGCAAAAACCCAAAAAAGTGTTTTTGTGGTATATTGTACTTAGTTTGAATTTGTTTAAAGGACATAAAACTACCCTTTTCAAATAAATTACAAACAAATCTTATCTTTTTAGAATGCCAATCATCAAATACACTAATGCCCATACCTGGAGGGAAAGCCTGGTTCCTAATTAGAGGTTGCAATTCACTAGAAAAACCTCTTCTTCCAATGTGGGCAGCAATATTATGCCAAACCCTGAGTGTACACATCAAAATTGAGTTATTTCTCACACCCAGTGGAAGTTCAGCTGACTCAATAGATAACAGACCAAGAAGAGAAAGGGGGTCACAGCACCAAGTATCTACAGGTGGCTCACCTAGATGTAAAAAAGAATGTAACCATCCTGAGATTATCCGTACATGGCAAGCCCAGTAACAATAAAGAAGGTTAGGAAGAGCCTGACCCCCCTTCATCTAAAGGTAATTGTAAAATCAATAATTTTAGCCAGACTTCTTTCCATGCCGTATAAATTTAGAGAAACACCCCTCGATCTCTGAAAATGTTTTTTTGGTGATTCTAAGAGGCAGCATTTGCATAGGATATAATATTCTAGGAAGAACATTCATTTTAATCAAACTTATTCTACCCATCCAAGATAATGGAAGGTCAAACCACCGATTAAGGTCATTTTTGATTGAGGCCACAATTGACTTAAAATTTAACTTGTATAGCTCTGTTATGTCCGAGGACACCCTGATACCCAGATATGTAAAACCTGTGATCGACCACCTGAAAGGAAAATTATCAGGAGTGTCCCACCCCCCCTTGTCACCAAGTGGCAAAGCTTCTGATTTATCATAATTTATTTTGTACCCTGAAAAAAGGCCAAACTGATTAATAGTGGATATTAATGTAGGGATAGATGTTTCTAGCTTACTGACAAACAATAACACGTCATCTGCATAAAGCGAGATTTTATATTCAGTATCTCCCAAGGTTACTCCAGAAATCCCAGAGTGGGTTCTTATAGCTTCTGCCAATGGCTCCAAAACAAGCGCAAACAATAAAGGGGAGAGGGGGACATCCCTGGCGTGTCCCTCTACTCAGAGGAAAAATATCAGAAGCAGAACCATTTTCCAAGACCCTTGCAGCTGGAGCCCCGTATAACAGTTTGACCCACTTGGCAAATTCAGATCCCAAACCAAGCCTTTCCAAAACATCGAACAGATACCCCCACTCCACACGATCGAATGCTTTCTCAGCATCCGATGAAATGGCGAGAGCCCTGCAGTTAGTGTTCTGAGAAAACTGTACAATATTTATAAGTCTGCGTACGTTGGAGTGGGAGTATCTATTTTTGACAAAGCCTGTCTGGTCAGGCTTTACTAGAACTGGCAGAACCTCCTCCAATCTCCCAGACAGTATTTTTGACAAAATTTTGCAATCTACACCAAGCAAACTTATAGGTCTATATGATGTACATAGATCGGCCGGCCTATCCTTCTTCAATATCAGAGATATGTGGGCAAGGTTGATGGTAGGTGGGAGCACGCCCTTCTCAAATGATTCCATATACATATTTAATAAGGGATTTGCAGTGTGTTTAGCCATTTTCTTATAAAACTTCGGCCCAAACCCATCAGGGCCCGGAGCTTTTCCATCCTGTAGAGATTTGATGGCCTCTAAGACTTCCTGTGTCCTAATAGGTCTAGACAAATCTAATTGTCTCTCTTCCGACAGTGTAGGGAGTTTAATATTATCCAAAAAGCCCTTCCTAGAATCTGCAGAGTCTTGACACTCAGAAGAATATAGTTCTTGGTAGAACTCTTTCATTATTTCACTGATAAGCTTAGTCACATAGTGTAGATCACCTTTCTTATCTTTGAGAGAGGGTATTGCATAAGACCCATTCTTCCCCTGGGCAAGTCGGGCAAGCAAACGGCCAGGTTTATTGCCAGATTCAAATAATCTGTGCTTTGCATAGAATATTGCACTTTCAGCTTTTTGAGTTAATAGTTGGTCCAAAGCTGATCTGGCTGCATCCAGCTTTTTAAGCACAGAAATGGACGTGGAT